AACTATATCATTATATATATACTATGTCGTGTATATATACATATAATATATCTATAACTAATATTCTAATATATATAAGGGTTACTATATCTATCTACGCTACTCACTAATGTTATAATATATATATATATACTATATATATTTACTATACTTATATATATATATATATATATATACTTACTATTTAATATCACTCACTTATATATATAATTATAATTATATGAACCGTATTCCATTGTTGACAAATGTGGAAAGGTATGCATGAGAACGAATTTTCACAAACATAGAGATGTATTTAACGTTCGATTCAATATCTAGAGTCAGAAAATACATGCATTTAATGTTATTTCTGAGAAGATATAATCGAAGACCGGTTAAATCATCTTTTGTATTGTGAAGATTTCGATCTCTCATTCATACCCTTCCAACACCACACACACACAACATATACTATATATATATCTCACTATACTCAATACATTTCTAACCTATACCTATAATATCTATTATATTATATGTAATATTCTACTTCGTGATTAATATATACTATACTCATATATATATAGTATATATATATATATATATTACCTACACAGTAATGTGTGTTTGTGAAAATATATATATATATATATATATTATATTTATATCTATATCTCATATATATACATATATATATATATATATACTATTATATATATATTATATATATATTATATATATATATATTTGTTTATAACTTTATTATTCTATAATACTAATATAATAGTGTGTATTTGTGAATATATATATATATAATATATATATATACCTATACTATACTATACTATATATATATATATATATATATAATATATATATATATATATATATAATATAATATACACCATACAACATATCATTATATACTTATATATATATGTCTTCTTTATATTATATACTTCTTATATATATATACTATATACTATATACTGTATATCTACTTATATTACTCTATATATATTATTATATATATATATTATATATATATATATATAAATATATGTATATATATATATATATCATATATATATATATATATATTATATATATATATATATATATATACCATATAGTATATATATATATATATATATATCTATACATCACACTACACACCACACAAACCACACACACACAACACACAACACACACTCACACCACACACACACACACACAACACACACACACACACACACACACACACACACAGAGACACACACACGAGAGAGAGGAGAGAAGAGAGAGAGAGAGAGACGAGAGAAGAGAGGAGAGAGAGAGAAAGGAGAGGAGGAGAGAGGTGGCATACAGAGACAATCCGACAGGGTGAGAGAAGGAGAGAGAAAACCGATCAGTGAAGAGATAGAGGAAGAGCGGGAGAAGGATGAAGAAATGGAGAGAGAGGGAGAGGAGGAGGAAGAGGAGGTCCAATTAACGAAGATGAGAAAGATAAAACGAAGTAGAGAAAGATTACGAAAGGAGAGCGTCAAAAAATAAAATAATTGTGATTAATGTCTTGATAATGATGATGATGATAGTGATAATAATGATAAAAGTAATGATAATGATAAAGTGATGAATAAAAGTGATGGTAATGATATGATAATAATGATAATGATAAAAGTGATTATATTAATGATAGTAATAATGATAATAATGATGATAGTGATGTTAATGATAATAGTGAAGATATTTAATGATGGTAATAATGATAATGATGATAACAATGAAAATTATGATAATAGAATAATTATACTAATAATGATGATGATAATGATAATGATAATGAATATAATAGTAATGATAATAAAAA